GTTTGCTTTTTCCCCTCCATGAAGGCCAAGGAGAGGGTACAGTTCCCCACGGCAAAGAGCAGCCACTGTGACCATAACCATGTTCTTAATGACTTCGTTCAAACTTTCAGCCTCCAGGTTTCTCCGTAAGAGGACCGAAACGTGATTGTTTATACATCAGTTTGAGTTGATTTCCTGGTTCTCCCATCATATGAATTCTGATCCAAGTACTGCCTTACATAGATTCTTAGGTAGGGTTGATTTGCTTTGAAAATGGATTTATGATCCTCAAATATTTTCATTTCACCTTGTTATATACTATTTAAGATGCCAATTTGATCAAGAAACAATTTTTAAAAAACATCCTAAGAGTACTGAGGAGAAGAAACGTTTGGTATTTCTTCCAAGCAAAGGGTCTCTCTCTCTTAATGTCTCCTAAGGCCAGATATACTGTGCATGAGGATCAGTAAAAAGCTATTGCTACAAAATCATAGCAACCTTTACTAAACAAAAATATCAAAATGTGACGTCTCAATACATCCCCTGAAAAGGTCTACGGACTTCTGAAGATGCCGATTCGTTCTCTCTAGCCCTTCTCGGAGGAACTCTGTGCTCTTTAGTTTATGCCACGTCGAAAGGCAGTTTTGGCATCCCAGAAGGACTCCAATCATGTTCTTTTGAAAGGCTCCTTGCATTTTGGGAACGCAAAGAAATCTGGAGGGGAAAGATCGGGGCTGCAGGGTGGATGGGGTGAGGATTCCCAAGAAGAATCTCATAGCTCCATCTCTACTCTCCTGAAAGAATGAGCAGTTATGCTGTCATGATGGAAACCATCCCTCAACATAGCTTTCCTGGCCTGTTCTGATGGGTTTTCAGTTAAGCTCCCAGGATGGTCCTATGTCCTTTACGAAAGATAATCCATGTCGATTTACCCCCTGGAACCCAAACCAGCTGTCATAACCTTCTGCGATGATCTCTCTCTGCCTTGAGCTGAAGTTCAAGACCCCCCTAGCCGCCACTGGAAGAAGACTCCCTCCGAAGCCACTGTCTTGCCTTGACCCTTTTTTCTTTAAAGGGAGAGACTAAGGCACATGTATTACTGAGAGAATTTGTGTACAGCCACCCACTGATGACAGAGACATGTTTAAACATGTTTTCTTTGGAATAAACCCATACCTATAAGAACAGAAACACTAGCAGCAATGTGGATCGGAGAGAGGAGGTGAGAGTCACAGACGTTAGGTAATCTTAAAGAAGGGTGACTAGTCAAGGTGAGGTTTTATACAACGTGGCACAAATCAGCGATAAAGTACCGAAAGGTTGGGCAAAGCTACTGGCTAATGAAAGAGAGATGAAGAGAATATGCAAAGAATGCAATTTGTTTCAGAATTTGGACCAAGAGCGTATGTATCACCTGGCGAATTTTAGGTATATTATTTTAACAGTCTTTTATAGGCTAGTCTGGAAACTCCGATACCATTTATACATAATATTCCCCTTCTTAAAAACTGGAACCTATCTCTTTGCACAAAAATGGATTAACTATCTTATATGTGAGACCTAAAACTATAAAATCGAAGAAAAAATAGGGACAAACTTGGAGGTCCCAACACATGGCACAAACACTTTACCTAACTGACTAGGGCTACCTACAAATCGGACCCTTGAATTTATCAGATTTTACTCACAGAGTAACCCACACACTAGGGAAGTACTTTTGGCAATGACATATAGGACAAGGGACTAATCTCTCAAATTTATAGAAAACACCTCAACAGGATCTAGTCAATGTGCAGTGATTATACATGGGCCGCCACCTGCAAGGTCAGCAGTTTAAAACCACCCACTGGCTTTGCAGGAGAAAAACGGCACTTTCAACGCCCACAGAGTTACAGTCTCAGACACTCACAGGGCAGTTCTACCCGGTCCTCTAAGGTTGCCTCACCTCAATGGCAGTGAGTTCGGACTATTTACTATCTAATCCCATCAACTCGATGACAGTGAGTTTGGAGTATTTAAACTCTAAGTGCCGAGCACCATTTAAATTTCAAATAAAATATTGTTTCATAATTAAGATCAAACTCTCATATATAAACTCTTGGAACATAACTTGCAGAACTTTACAAACTTTAATAAATTTAGATAAGCATATGTAAAATAAAATGTTAAGTAAACCAGTATTTTGAATTTTACAGCATGTTTACAATCCAAAGTAAGTAAAAGTAGATAGGGTTAATTTAGTTTTTAAGTTAAGTTAGAATTAGCATTGTTGTCTTATGTAGTGACATAAACTTATTAAAATTCATACATCCCTAAGATATGCGGCTCTTATTTCCTTTAAATACGTAATAATATGATTATATTTATTTTAATAATAATTGTGCTTCCTCCTTGGAAGGAAACTTGCTTATCTACTAAATTACATTTCAAATCTAATTACCATGTCAATTTGCAGATAACTTAATAAAGAAAAACAATGTCAAATGCCAAATTTAATCGGCATCTCTTGGACCCTTAATAATTTTGGTTATCAAATTATATTTCCATGTTCCACAAAACTCAAAATAAAAATTTATATATACATTGAAAGCATTCTATCAATATTTTAACAGTATAATACTACAATAAAGCAGATAGAATGTTAGATTTTCTGAGAAAAATAAAACTCAGGATAACAAGATGGGGAATTTATAGAAACTAAGCTTTGAAACTGTATAAAAGTTTACTTTTTGTACATTTGTAATCAACATTGACAACTCCCTTTTTTATCTGGATGTTATCCATCCTTTAAAACTCAGTTCATGTATTGCCTCTGATGGGAAGCTACCCTTAAAATCTCTAAATCAGGAAAGTGACACTAACTTAAGTCTTCTCTGAGAGTGGCTATCTACTGTGCTTAGCTCCGCTGAGTGGGCTCTGACTCATAGTAACCTTATGCACAACAGAACGAAACCCAGGCTGGTCATGTGCCATCCTCACGATGGTTCTTATGCTGGAGCCCATCTATGCAGCCATGATGGTCAATCCATCTTGTTGAAGGCTTCTTTTTTGCTGCACGAAAACTCCATGGACCGGTCTTTCCCGACAACATGTCCAAAGTGCACGAGGTGAAGGCTCGCCATTCTTGCCTCTAAGGAGCATTCTGGCTGTACTTCTTCCAAGACAGATTTGTTTGTTCTTTTGGCAGGCCACGGTACTTTCAATATTCCTCACCAGCACCATCATTCAAGTGCATCAATTCTTCTTTGGTCTTCCTTGTTCCATGTTCAACTTTCACATACATCTGAAGCAATTGAAACTACCATGGCTGGGGACAGGTGCACCTTCATACTCAAAGTAACTTCATTGCTTTTCAACACTGTAGAAAGGTCTTATGCAGCAGATTTACCCAATGCAATGATCTCTTAACTGCTGCTTCCATGATCGTTGATTGTGGATCCAAGCAAGACAGAACCACCCCTCACAACTCCAGGCTCTCTGCCACCATGATGTTACCTACTGGTCCAGGTGGGAGAGTTTTAGTGCTCTTTACAGAGTGGTAATCCATCCTAAAGGCTGCAATCTTTAATCCTCATCAGCAAGCGCTTCAAGTTCTCCTTGCCCTCAGCAAAGCAGGCGGTGTCATCTGCATATCACTGGTTGTTAATAAGCCTTCCTCCAATCCTGATGCCACATTCCTCCTCATGTAAGCCAGCTTCTCGGATGAACGGCTCAGCGTACACACTGAATAAGTATGGTGAGAGGATACAACCTCAACACACACACCTTTCTTGATTTTAAATCAGGTAGCATGCCCTTGTTCTACTTACACAACTGCCTCTTGACTGACCCATGTACATCTTCCACACGAGCACAATGCGGTGTTCTGGGATTCTCACTCTTCTCAAGACTATCCATAGTTTGTTATGGTCCAGACAGTTAATTGCCTTTGCACAGTCAATAAACACAATACCTTTCTGGTATTCTCTGCTTTGAGCCAGGATTCACTAACATCAGCAACAATATCCCTTGTTCCGCATCTTCTTCTGAATCCAGCCTGACTTTCTGGCAGTTCCCTGACAATGTATTGCTACAACTGTTTGTTCGATAATCTTCAGCAAAATTTTACTTGCATGTGATTAATGCTCTATAATTTGAGCATTATCTTGGGTTACCTCTCTTTGGAATGAGGTTACAAATATGAATCTCCTCCAGTCAGTTGGCCAAGTAATTGTCTTCCAAATTTCCTGGCATAAACAAGTGAGTACATCCAGTGTTGTTGCATTTAAGACATTATCAGTATGACCATTGTTATTGCAAAGCCTCTCTCCTTGACTTGCTGACTTCGTCCTCATTTTCCGTAGTCTAGTGTCAACGCTGTTAGCCAAGATGTTGTTGTGTGTGATCATGTGTCTACTCTGGTCTAATCCTCTACTAGTTCATCATTTCATATGGAAGAAAAGTCTTTAATATCCTACGTATCTGTGTATTACCCCAGAGCCCCTGCCAGTAACTACCTAACCTTGGCTACACCTAACCCCTTTCACACTCTGTTCTAGACGTATTGGCCTCCTCCTGCTTATCAAATTTGCCAAGTATGCTCCTGTTTTAGGGCCTTTATACCACTGTTCCCTCTTCTTAGAATACTTTTCTTCCAATATTCATATCCGTTGGCTCCCTATTCAAATTAATCTTCCAAAATGTGGTTAAGTACTGAATGGATGCTTCTTAGTTGGGAACGCAAAGACAGTTAAATCTTACATAGAAAATATGTGAAGATAAAAGAAGTATGAAAGAAATATACATTGGCACATACCTGTTTGAATTCTGAATCTTTTCCAACCATAACTTGAAGACTGTAAATAACTGGATCACCTTTCATTGGTGATAAACATTCCCATGTAATTTCACAAATGTGATCATTTATTTTCTCTATTTTGGGTGCTGCAAGAAAAAAATTGTTAATGAAAATATGCCCTATTTTACTTCAAGCCAATAATCTTTAAACCTCAGTTACAAACTTGAAATAAGGTATCCGTGGATTTTTCCGTCTGTAGAGAAAATGCCAGTGGTTCACTCTAACCTGTAGGCTACACAGTCTACAGTTAGGCAGACTGACTAACAGAGCTGTCAAGGTTTGAACCATTGTTTCTAAGCTACAGAGGTGTGAATAAAGTGGGCATTCTAGACCAGTGGCTTTTACTCCATGTGAAACCGGGGACTATGACCAAAGTTGTCTCATGAAATAATTTTCATGGGGCTTCTAACAGTATAGTAACTAGAACATGAATTTCATCAATTAAGAAATCTCTTCCTGGCAAGATGAGTTGACTATAACATTTCAATGTCTGGCTCTCTGTGACTGCTTCACTGAACAGTGCAAGTTGAGTGAAGATGTTACGAGAGTAAAAATTAATGCCACTTTCTTATGAGACTGAACTACATGAAGGAAAAGGACTTGGTGACACTCACCAACATTACTTGAAAGAAAACATTTCTGCAAACCACAGATCCATTCAACAAACGACAAATCTAAATACTTGGTCCAGAATATGTACTAGAGTCTGTGTTCATTTACCGACGTATGCATGTATTTCAGACATTTTGGCTAAATAGAGAATGCAGTCTTTGCCAACATGTCACTTAAAAATCTGTACTCTTCTGTGCTTAATTTAAATACATGTATTTCATATATGTGTATATACTAGAACATGTATATGTGTATACATTTGAGTTTATAAAAAACCCAAGTTCACTAAGAATTTACTTGTTTCATTTAATAGGTATCATGGTCATGACCTTTTCCTTGAAATCCAAATGAATTATGTAGCAAGAATTCAAAACATTTAAGCAACCAGCTTGTGATTTTTTTTTTTTTACTTAAATAACAATACAACAAAAGACCCTATCAGAAAGTCAGCCTGTCTATTCAATTTCACATTTTTAGCTGGCCTGTTAAAAAGATTAAACAAACAAACAAAAACCTTAGTACCTAAGGGTTATGTACCAGATAAAAGAGCTATTATTATTCAAGGAAACTCAGTAGGCAGATTTGCCAAATTAACGTGTGGATGGTACAATGTACCTTTCAAGGCCGCTGGGACAGATTTTGGTGTAGTGAAAATATATTCTTGGGAGAGGGGACCTTCTCCAGTTTCATTACAAGCTTGAATACAGAATTTGTAGGACGTCGACTCATTGAGTCTTTGTACTTTATATGTATGACATGGTCCTCTGTACAGGGATATAAACCTAAAAGAAAGATATAATGGTATTAGGTAAAAAAGACTATCTTACAAATAAAGTTGTCACAACTACTAGAACAGTACCAAACCAAATTTACTGCGGATGGGTCAATTTTGACCCATCGTAATTATACAGGAGAGGGCGGAACATTCCATCATTACAGACAGAAAACCTCATCTTTCTTCTGCAGGGTAGGCTGGTGGTTTTGAACTGCTGACAGCGTGGTTAGCATTTCCCACTCTGCCACCATCCTCCGGGCATTTTTAGGAATAATGAGTTACTCTAAAGTTTAATGCCCAGGGCAGTTTTATCATTCTAAGTAAATTTCTATGTTTTTCCTCAGATGATTAAAAACCATAGAGGCAGCAAATCCCCCAATTTGATACACTTTCCTGAAAATATCTCACTGTTTTATTTATTTATTAATTAAAAAAAATTTTGGGGGGGTCACTAAGCTTTATGTTCAACTATAGTAACTGTTTCTTTTTAGACTTCTGGAACAGGTTTGTTACATCTACATGGTTTCCATTGATTTTTTTTCAATGTGTAGATCTTTCAAAATAGATGACAGACTTCTGATTATAAATAATTTCTAACCTAAGTACTATGCATACATGAACCTGGGCTAGGAGACGGTTTCTCCACTACTCTTCCTTGAAAAGGGCAGGACTCTCAGTCCCCATGCATGGCTTTAGCGACAGGTGATGTTTTCAAGAGACACACATATAGCACTATGAGATAACATAGAATCTCCAGTGAATTACTCAACTTGAATTATTTGGGAAGGGTAACAGCACATGTATTTCTCCCTAATATGCCATCCTTAATTTGAATTTTTCCTGATATTTTGATCGTTTTTTTTATTAACCTTTTTAACTATGGAAAATAATAAATGCTTCATACACTTCTAACAGCCTGAAAACTAATCAGGCTAAACATGAAGAAAAATATAGTGATAAAGCATAATGTATGTACTCTAAGATAAGCCGAGTTTTCCAGCGCATTTTTAATGCCGTTTTTGTGGTAAAATTAGGTGCCTCAGCAGATATTCGGGTCGGCTTATATTCGAGTATATATGGTAGATTCCTAACTTTGATTTGGCCTACTGCCCCCTTTTCAGGGAAAAGATTATTCAGCACCCCATTGGCAATTAAAAACTTTTGCAATACAGTCCTTAATTCAGAATAAAATGCAGACATGTGCTCTTGCATTCCACCTGGATCCTCCCAATGTTCCAAGGAGAGTGGTATTGTCCACTTTGGGAAACAATGATCTAAATAAAGTAACACCTTTCCAAGGAAGAGTCTTGTATGTTTAATCCCTGAAATATAGGAATGATTGAAAAAATCGAATTCTGACAAAATCTGTGAAACACTGACTGAAAAATGGCCTCCCCCTCCACATAAAAGTTGAAAAGTTTATTTTGTAGCCAAGATTACTGGCATAGAGAGAGTGAAGGGCCAATGAACAGAGCCAAAGAGTAGCTCGCTTTTCGCTCGACTTTTCATTCATAGGAATAGGAACTCTACATTGTGTACTCTGTTGTTTAAAAAGAAAAACAGTACACTCAACTATTTCTTATAATTTTAACTGTTGTTAAAAAGTTTTTTTATTCATTTCTACAACTTAGAATCATTTAAAACCTAGGAAAATACATAAGGAAGCAATTTTTAAAAACTTACCTTCCATTTTTATCCTCCATCTGAAGGTGGTACTGAATAGCATCGGTTGGCAATGTTTTTGGGGTTCCTTCTCCCCACTTCAGTTTAAGGTTCTGGTGACTAAAGGCAACACATTCCAGACGAGGTGGATCAGGAGGGAGGGGCTTAGTTTTCAATTTTATCATGTGGCTGAACGGACCCGCTCCGAGGATATTCAAGGCTTGAATTCGTATTCTAATAGTCACATAAAAAAAAAAAAAAGAAGAAAAAGAAAAAGAGAAACGCTTGGTGATTATTTAAAATTTCTCGATGGTCTAAGCAAAATTTATTGTGTAGTTTTTAGAGTATACCTGTATGTTGTATCTGGCTGTAAACTGTCAATCATATAGCTTGTAACCTTTCCCACGGTCAAAGTCTGTTTATCTCCAAAATCTATGCTGTAGGCAAGGATTTCTGAACCATGATCACAAGGCTTTTCCCAGCTGATTGCAAGGCATGTAGAAGGTGAATAATGGGAATTTTCTATGTCGTCCCCACAAATCTCTTGAAGACAGGTCACAATGGCAGGCACTGACGGTGGAGTTACACAGGCCACAACTTCACTGTAAAGGCCTGCTCCAACGACGCTCAGAGCCTGCAAGTTAACAAAGACAAGCCCATGAAGATGCAAAGGCAACACGAGGCTTCTGGACAAAGGAAGTGACAGAGCATCGATTGTCTATACCTGGACCCTGCAGTAATATGTGGTTGCCGGTGAAAGTCCTTTCAACTCATAACTGAGTCCAGGTCCACAGTAACACATCTGCATACTTCCTTCAACGCCTCCCCACTCCAGTCGGTACTCGGTGACATCAGTTCCGTGACTCAATGGGACCTGTCAATGGAGAAAAAGACAAGGACAGGAACCTTGTTATCTCAGTGTAACAACAACAAAACAAAACACTGAGCTGCTTTTGAATTTAAATACTTAAGCACAATTAAAACCACTCAACTGTATTATTTTGAATTTAAGCTCAAAAGTACGTCTTGAATTAGAAGCAGTAATATGACTAACTCACTTTAGAAAGAGTATTTTAGGGTAAACATATTTCAAAATAATCCTATTAATGCAAAATAATAAATCATACAAAGATATTCTTTGTTAAATTTCAAAGGAAAATGAAAATGCAATCATCATGACTAATTATTCCTGTATACATTACATGCAATGGGAATAATAAAAACAAAAAATTCCAATTTACTCAAATGCCTGAAAGAGAACTCACTTTCTACCCATGTGAATTTACTCAGGTTTAGTCTTTGTATAACTTAGGTGCCCCAAACGAGTATTTTTACTCCTTTTCTAAAAATTTAGTTGTTTAAAGCAGAAAATTACAATACCTCCCAATTCACTTGTGCACAGGTTGCAGATCTGCATGTTACTTGAGGGGGCTTACATTGATCTGGTGGCCCAGGAGCTGTAGTAATATTACATTTTTCTGAAAAAGGACCAAACTAGGAAAAAAACAGTATATATAATAAGCATTTTCACTTTTTACCCTTAAACATTCACTAACTGCAGAGCTTTCAATACTGAAAAATCCACAAAAAATTAAGTACATCAATCCCTGTCTTTCACGATTAACTGGTATAAATAGTTTTAGAATCATTCATAGGAAGTAAAAAGATTTACTAGACCATAAAAACGAAGGTGTGAAGTTTTCAGGTTTCATTCACTATGCGTTTTTCTCCTGCTGCTTATTCCTTCACGAAGTTTGATTTATGAGGAGAAAGTATTAGAGAACTACACGCCAAGCCAAACTTACTGCCACTGAGTCGATTCTGACCCACAAGGATGCTACACGAGATTCCTGAGCCTGTCCATTTGTTCTGGAGCACACAGCCTCATCTTTCTCCTGAGGAGAAGCTGGGTGAGTTTGAATCACCAACCTTATGGTTAGCAGTCCAATGCTTCACTGGCAGTTTCAAAGATGTTATTAAATATAACTTATAATCTGTATTTTATTCTATGACTTCAGAATGAATGAATATTCTGACCTCGAGGTTAGCAATCTAACGCTTACCTGACAGCACAACCAGGGCTCCTTATTAGATCAGGGAATTAGGAAGGAAGAATATAATTCAAAAGAAATTATGTAAGGACTTTAATTACATGTAGACTTTTTTGGCTAGCAGTCGAGTACTTAATCATTGCACCACCAGGGTACTTAAACCCTTTTAGTACAGTCTCAAAGTTAAACTTTGGCCTAAATTTAAGTCCCAAGTGTTAAATTATAATAGGATTGGAAAGTTCTGAGAGTCTGTAGTAATGAAGCTCTCTTAATTTATCAATATGGACTTCCTATGAATGATAAGATTTGGAGTCACATGCTAAGAACAAAATGATCAAATAAAGGTTCAATCATCCAAGGTAAAATAACAGAAGCTTGACTATACTTTAGTCAGCTGTCTTTCCTACCCCCATTTTGTTAGCCGCACGAAGTCTGAAGCTGTACGTCTTTCCCGGAAGAAGGCTGCTCACTGTACATTCGACTTCAGAGCCTTGGTACACTTCTTTGGACTCATCTTCTTCTATAGGAGACATTTCCAGGCCATAGTAGGAAATGGGTGCTCCACCATCAATCTGAGGAGGTCCTAAAGGCGGAGAGATTTATACAATTTATCAAGATGAATATAGTTAGTGCTGACTTAATTCATGATTTAGTACCAAAATGGAATTACCCCATCGTAACTGTATTTCTTTTGCTTTGGGTCTACCCTGTATCCTGGGAGGGGCGCACGGGCCGGGAGGCACTGCTGGAGTCTGCACAAGTAACGACTCAGACACCTGCCAAAACAAAAGCCCAAACCAAACAGTCAGACCTTTTGTGTTAAAGGGAAATACTGCAAACACAGATATTGCCACGGTAATTTGAAACCATACTTCAATATCAATAAAAGGAATACAAATTCTGAAGAAAAGAAAAATCCAATTAAATAATAAAACTCAAATTTTATATTAATAAAATAAAGACACGCACCATGTAAACACTATATACAAAGTCAAGTAACTAGAGAAAAACTTCCTTTTCTTCTTGCCATTAAGCATAAACAACTTCCAACACACCCTAAAGGGCATTATTTTTGTTCCTGTCTAAATAGATCCACTACTCTCTTCTCATGTAAGGAAGGTTTTTTTTTTTTTTTTCTTTTAAAAAAAATCATTTTATTTGGGGCTCATACAACTGTTATCCCAATCCATACACACATCAATTGTGTAAAGC